ATGGCGGCATTCCTCATACAATTTCTGAATTAAGAAGATTATATTGGATACCTAAAGGAAGAGCCGAAGTCAAGAGAGTGTTGAATAAATGTTACGGATGTAAACGATGGAAAGCCAAATCGTTTAAACTGCCACCCATGCCTGACTACCATGACTCCCGAACAGTACGATTCAGAATATTTACTCGAATCGGATTGGATTATTTAGGCCCTGTCACTGCTAAAACGGAAGTTGGAATGGCGAAAAGGTGGGTAGCATTATTTACATGTTTCACAACTCGTGCAGTGCATTTAGAATTAGCAGATGATTTATCTGCAGAAAGTTTTCTTACTGGGTTAAGAAGATTCGTAGCACGACGAGGCTGTCTTGAACTAATTTTATCAGACAATGCTAGCCAATTTCACCTAGTCTATCGAACGATCAAGAAACAAGAATCACAATTAAATAATTTCCTTATAAGCAAAGGAATAATATGGAAGTATATAACGCCGAAGGCACCGTGGAGTGAAGGAATTTATGAAAGAATAGTCGGTATAATGAAAAGTGCCTTTAGAAAAGCTGTTGGTAGAAAATTATTAAAGGAAAAGGATTTAGTTACCCTAGCGATCGAAATAAAGAGTATTATGAATATTCGCCCATTAGCTTACGTGAATTTTGATGATTCAATAAATTTACGTCCTGTGGATTTTATTTCCTCCAATGCCTTACTAAATATACCAATGAGTAATGACAGTGACGAAGATGAATTTATTCCACATGAGTTAACCACTTATGATAAGCTTATTAAATATTTGTCAAAAACTCTTAAGACTTTTGATGTATTTTGGAAAATTTGGAAAGATGAGTACTTAAATAGTTTAAGGGAACGTACACAAATAAAACACAAATCTCCTAAAAGTGCAATAATACGACCACCTTCCCTAGGAGAAGTCGTACTAGTAAATGAACCACATATTCCTCGCGGAATGTGGAAATAAAGATAAATAAACTTAATAAGAGTAGGGATGGAAATGTCAGGAGTGTTGAGATAGAATTGCCTTTTGGGAAACTTCTCAATAGACCAGTTAATATGTTATGCCCTCTGGAAGTGGAACAAGAAGATCAACCCGAAGACTCTGTAACTGAATTAACGAATGCAAAAGACGAAGAACCCATCGCACGGAGAACACGAAGTTCAATAAAAGAGCTACGAACTCCAGCTGTGATCGAGAATGAAGAACCAATAGCGCGACGAACTAGAAGTTTGGCAAGCCAACAACGAAATCCAATAAGCTTAAGGAGTAAGTCAAGTTCCACAATGTTATGCATAATGTTAACAGTTCTATCCATAATGTCGACAAGAACATTAGCAACAAAAACCTGTAAATAGAGATCTGGAATATCATTTAACATCGCTAAAAGGGTGGATGACAATTTATTAGTTGCTCCTTGTAATTCGAGAAACATCACACAGAACACGGTTGAGTTCAAAGTTTGTATAATAAGCAAATTTGAAATTGAAAGAATCAATGCGGAAATAGAAATATTGGCTGACAAACAAAAACCCATCAATCCAGTATCTCATCAACAAAACATGGAAACCATCTGGCAAGAAATCAGTCAAGAAGGAGAAGAAGCAGAACAGCTGGATGATGAGATTGGCAAAGCTACGTTACTGATATAAAATGAACTTTCGGGATTTGCCGTACATTGGCGCATGATTATTGGTGGAACTCATTCTGTTGATAGTGCTAATTATTGTTAAATTAAATTGTCAATTGATTTTATTTCCTTTATGTCCAAAATGTAATAGAAATTCAAATCAAGAAACCGTTGCTATCCTTATGAATTCATTAGGGGAAGACCTACACAACAAAAAGGAATTTAAAACTACCATTAAGAATGTTTTAAGTTATCAACCCAAATTCCTTCCTCTTGCTAGCTTTCTTCCCTCTCGGGAATGTCGAGAATTTTCTCGAAACTATGAATCATTGCTTATAAAAATAAAAGGGTCACAACAAATAAGGTCACAACAATGTCGAGAATGTCGAGAATTTTCTCGAAACTATGAATCATTGCTTATAAAAATCAAAAGGTCACTTTTTTTTCCTTTTAAAACGTTGTGTAGGAGTGGGTTTTTTCTTCTTTTCTTTGCAGTATAAACAGTTTTTTTTAATTTACGTTTTATCTAAACTATTGTTCCCATTTTCAATAAAAATAAATTATTATTATATTGTTGTGGTGTGACAGCCTTACAAACCCCGTTCAGTCTAAACGAAAAAGTCACAACACACTCTGATTGGTCATGTTTCATATCTGTTTACAAAGATCATGCGCACTGTCAACCAAAAGAACATTTCTAATTGCTATTATCTGAGCTGCAAATTTTTTGATTTTTTGACCTTTCAATATTAGAGTGAATTCAATATGTTTTGAAGTCTAACACTTCCTCTGATGAGCTAATTAAAATATTTTATCAACATCTGCTGTGTAAAACCTCTGTCTTATTTTTGAAGTATTTTGAATCGTTATTTATCAAATCATTCAAGAAATAAACTTTTATCTCTTAGATTACTTTATTTTTTATGAAAAACAAACATATTTTCCAAAAAAACCAGACTTGGAATTCATTAGTCATCGTCAATCGCACTGTCGATGGAATCTTATTTCAAAATTTTTTCATTGAGGTAATCTACTAAAATATGACTAAAATAACCGAAATTATTTGATTTCAGCATCGGTATTGGTCCAGTGGCTTGGTTTATTAGTACTGAATTAGTCAACACATCTGCCAGTTCTCGAGTTTTGTCGCTATCAATCTCGGCTCAATATTTTACTTGTTTTTTATGCCCAGTGATTTATTCTCCCTTAGAAGAGCTAACTGGTGCATTTAGTTTTCTTCTTTTTATTATTCCATTGAGTTTATCCTCGATCTACTTCTATAAATGTTTGCCAGAAACTCGAAAAATACCAGCAACAGAAAATCGTGCTTTCCTGGAAGGGGTCCATTATCCTTGTGCAAAACAATTAAATAATATTTAAAGTATCGTCCGACGTTTTATACGCCAAATTAGAACAAAATATGGATTGATCAGTTATTTTGCATTTTTTTCTATTTGTTGTAATGCTTAAAAAACTAGCAAATATTTCTTTAAAGTAATATTTATAACTTAATAACTTAATATGTGGAACGAGATGAAGTCGCAGAAGAATCATTTTTTTCATTTTTTTGCAAAGTATTTTTGCAACATTGCGACATTCAGTACATCGATTTTTTGTCAAGTGGAACCATATGCGATAACAATTAAATTTTTAAAAATGGTTATTGCTAAAAATAAAAAAACATTGTTTCCAGTTGTTTCCTAAATAATCTAAAATATATTTTCAAACAGATCGATATGATCAATATGAAAAATATTCTAAAATTTCAAACTGAAGGCATAATTAATGCATGAATTATGAAAATATGTAATAATTTTTTCGTCATAAACAATTTTCACATCGAAAGTGATTGAGAACGAAATATGATTAAATTGAATTTCAACACACTTGATGCAAACTGCGATGATATTCCTGCAAAAGATTTCGTTATTCATGGAAACAATGCAGGTTTCTCCAACTGATGTAATTTCTGTAGTTGTTTTCCCACTCCGCTTTATTTCCCATAAGCGAAATGCAGTAAGTTCCAGTAGCCAACAAATTTAGCTAAAGGTAACGGATAAAGGTAAAAGTAACAGATAAGTAAATAAAGAGTGAGATAGATTAAATAAATTTGCTACCAAAAATTTCGAAATTCTCATGGATTCACAGAGAGAATATATATTTTTCTTAGTGATCCGAGTCAAATTTAAACAATTTTATTTGTAATGGTAATATTTTGACGTTTCATTGTAATTAAAAAATTAACGCTATAAGCTGTAAACCGGTCAGATTTTTTAAATAAATGGAGAAAAACTGTATTGCAATAATTTTCTATAGTTTATAGCTAGAAATAATACCAGCTGCTCCAGATGATTATTTCTATTTTGTTTTTTTTACGACAAGATATTGGTGACATTGTTATGTGACATTGATTATGTTCATCACCTTAAAGTTGGCTAATTAAATTTGTTCGCTGATGATAGTTATAAGGAGTAGTGATGATAGAGAAGAGATAGAGAAGAGTTATAGTGAGAAAGGAGAATCTATGTTATATATATATATATATATATACGATTGATTCGTCACTAAAAGCAAGAAATAACTGAAAAAGGAACTTCTCAGGAACTTTATTCAATTGTACTTGTAATTGTACTTAATTTTACTTTAATATCTCTCCCCATCCATTTTCCAAGATACTGCTGCTTTTGAGAGGAATGTTTTTCTATAAATATTGATTTTGATAGTTATCAATAAAAGGATTGATCAAAAATGCTGCAAATTAAAACGGTAGAAGTGATTCCCTTTAACCACTTTTTGCCATCAAAATTGATTAAATTTTTTCCATTTAAGCATATGTCATCACGAAATTTCTGCAAACTCATATATACTTTTACATGAAATTATGTGATCTTTTTAATAATTTTGATCGTTTGCTCCTCAAAAATTCAATTTTTCACAAGTACCACAATTTTCCAATTAAATTCTAAAAATAATGCTGTCTATGAAAATTCTCTAAAGCTTTCATTCTTTGATGAAAATTGTTTTTCATCAATCATTTTATTAAGTTTTATAAAATAATACTAATAGCTACGTTAATTTAATAATAATAGTATTATTAATTACAATAAAAATATTAATAAGAATGATAAATAATAATAACTGATAATAATATCGTAATGCAACAGTATGCAAAGTGATACTGTTTCAATTTTAAAATTATTGGCTCCGATATAAGCAAAGAGATTATAATGCATTTTATGTTATTAAATTTCTGCTAATATTTTATCAACAGAAATTTGGTGTAAAATTATACTCAATTAAAATACGAAGATAGTGATCTACTATCAATAATTTAATGAAAAAAAAGGATTATTTTCATAAAAGTTATTCGAATCTCTTATATTATCTATTATTTTTATTTATTTTTTCCTATTATTCTCACTGTCCATTATTCACAATGCCAATTTTTTAACAAATGCAAATATCGCTCATTCGGAAGAGTAAAGGAATGTTTATATATTATCGAGCATTTGGAATATCAGTCATTTGTCACAAAAATATTTCCTTTCGCGCCTCGTTTAAAATTATATATATACATATAGTCAATATGAACCAAATTATTGTTAGCAATTTTATGAAATTTTTTTAAAAAATATCCTGATGCTGAAGAGATTTTTTAGCGGAAATCAATGAAAAATTTTTTGGTGGCACTTTTGCAAATTCAAGTCGAACGTATGGACGATTCATCTTTATTTCAATTTATTCTCAATAGCTCTCACTGTTATTTACACAAAACTTCGACATAATTAAGTTGTGCAAAATTATGACTGCTTTTGATATTACAATGGTATCGTTCTATCGCTTCCTACGATTTCGTTAACTCAAATTGTGCTTGTTACAAATCGAAAAAAAATTTTAAGACGCGAAAAATTGTGGAACTTTGCTGTTTTTGCATATAGTTTTTTTTAAATTCATAACTTAGCTAATTAACTTCGTTTTATCATTTTATTTCCTCATTTAATGAGTGTAAGCTATTTAACTTAAAAGATATTTTTCAAGAAATTATTCTTTGCTGAAAAATCGATCTTCTTTTCATGTTATTGTTTTAAAATTGAAACATTTTAAAAAAGGGATTAAAGAGAAAATGGTGGGGTGGCACCATAGATCTCATATTTTTGACAAGAATTAATTAGCTATTAAAGTGAAGATGAGCTGCATTCCTATTGCTTGAGTGGCTCAGCGAAGCAGTATTGTCCTAATGACCAGAGAAATCAAAACCAGACATGGTATGTGTATTTTAGATGAGGTGCAAGAAGAAAGATTTGGAAGAAAAAAGCCCTGTTAATGTCAACAGTGGCTTTTTTCTCCAGTTTTATGATGTTAAGTTGGTTTGATCGGTTGAACTGTGCTGATAATAATAAATCTTTTCCTTTAGTCTTTATTTATACAATTTCAAACAATAAATATGCACATTATAAGTAGCATTTTTTGGAAAAAAATGAAATAGCTGGTAGATATGGTTCTAAAAATTACCTATCTGCTTCTTCAAATCATAATTTTAATTTTAATACACATAAATAGAAGAAAATAAAAATAAATACAGTGAAATATAAAATGTAGGAATTGTGATTTAAAAGGGCGTATTCTCTCAAAAACTATTCCACCTGGATTTCATTCGTAATGATAGACAAAATTGCGCCCGTAACTGGCTTGCAAACATCCTCCGTTATCGATTGCAGAATTGAAAAACTTATAAGACTTTTTTAGTGAGCCTTTTTCATCCTCATTATAAATTTCACGGAATGAATGGAATGAAACCGATATTGGTAAAACATATATCTAATTTTAACAAAACGAACAGATTTTCAATAACGGATAGAAAATAGGGTAGGAAACGGATATTATAAGAATCTAAACTGCTAATGTTTAGATCAGTTATCCAGCATAAACTCTTTTGGTATTAAAATTAATTTCATGTTTATTTTCTTGCAGCCATATGAAGCAATTATTGAAGGAATAAATTATTAGTGACTGACAAAAAAAGCCAAATTTGCACAATAATTTGAAAACTTGCTAAACTTGCTAAACTTCTGCTAAAATTACTTATTTTTAACTTTTAAATGAAAAATGACCAAGTATTTAGCAAAAAGAAATCATTTTCTCGTAAATGAGGCCGTTTTAGAAAGGTCATTTCCATTTTTAGCGCAATTCATGGATCTATTTTATCATCTCTCATTGTCTCATTTGCTGAACTGAATGCGAGCACCATATATCATGGCATTTATTATTCTGTTAATTTCCATGATAGATTTTACATTGAATCTGGCATTGTTCTATTTTCATTTATTAAAATTTCATGGTAATTAGATGCAAAAAATAATAGCAAATATCGAGAACAAAACTCAGCGTGAACTTTTTAATTTAAAAATTGCAGTCGAATAAGTTAATTATCTCGAAATTCGTCAAAAGATGCTACTTCAGTCTACTCATTTCATTCTAATCACGCAAATAGCAATCAAAGCATTATTCTTCATTCTTTAATTCTATTTTTATCCGTCGTTCATTTCAATCTATGCCTTTAAACTAATAACAACCGGAAATAATTCTTTCCACAAGATGAATTTTTTTACTCACTTAGTTTTTTGTGAAAAAAAGTGATAGTTCCCTAAGTTGTGCTCCTATTTCTCCTTTTAATGGCATTCATTTCTAACTTGGTTGGCAACATTGACTAATGGTGAAACTCTTCGCCAGAATTGGAAGTAGAAGTAGCAAATAGATCGGTCTCCAGCAGCATCCTGATTTCATTTTTAATGACAGGTTTATTTCCATTGAAAAACAGAAAATTAACTTCAGTCGAAGTAACAACCATAGTGATCCAAATTAGTACTTTTTTTTTCTAGAACTCCTCATTCCTAGTTAGGTTTGGTCCACTGGTTTTTCAGACTAGAAAAACTTTGTCAAGAGGCCACTTCGTGAAACGAGCACAGTTGGGTTGCCAGCATCACCAGGATTTTTGGAAAGTACTATCCCACCTAGCATGATCGCTCGAAAATGAGGGCAACAAGGCATTGAGCCATTCCATTTTTAATGTATTTTTTTCAAAATTATTCATCGCACTATTTCTTATTTTTCGAAAAACTTTATACTTTATGGTCTTTTATTATGCTTTAGTTATATGAGAAAGGCTTCATCAAAATTTCATAAAAAATAATTTCATTTTATTGAGGCAAAATCATGTATTATGTTTCAAACCATATAGGAATCTTTTTTTTCCAACAAAAAATTACCTTCCATTCCCACATTGAAAGGAGGCTCAATTTTCTATTTTTTCACCATTGATAAATAAGATCAATAAGAAAGTGAGATTTGAAGTGAGATAGAGATTTGAAGTGAGATAGTTTTGAAATGTTCTTATATTTGTCCAATATTCCAATCCAATATTTCAATATTTTGGAATGTTGCAACAATACAGTTCGATAACCTTGTTTCAATGCGCAGAAGTCTTTTAGGACAGTGGATCTTTCTAATTTCTCAATATTTTTATTTCCTTAAAGCTTAGTTCAGCTACATTTATTAACAATTCATGAGACTGTTCTATTATTGTCAAGGTTTCTTTCTTGGAAAATTTGTTGTTATTGTTGCATGCAAGCTTTCAATAAATAAGTTCGATTTATTCACTTAAGCATTTATGATAATCTTTATCAATCTAATCTTTCTCCATAAACATCAGCCATTTATAGTCGTTCTCCTATACAGTTTTTTCCTGCTTAAAGTTTTCTTCGATATATGAAGTGAGGAAAATTTGAGGCGCTATTTGACGTCAACTAAAACTTTTTTGGAAAGTGAAGTCATTTATGAAAATTTTTCATAAAATATCGATTTCAGAACTGTTTTCGCCTTTTTTAAACAAATCTAACCAAAGTAATTTGATATATTTGCCTCATATCAGTATTAATTATAGCGATTTATCATCATTTGATCTTAAAAATTTCGAACTGTGCAATTCAAGAAACACCTCAGAACTTATTTCTTTTATTGAATTATGATTCCTATTTTTCTGTCCAAACCATTTTTTCCAGAGCCATACACATAAATTAACATAGCATGCTTATTCGCGTAGAATGTATTTCACATTGTGCAATCGATGTCAGTAAATTGAAAAAAGAACTTAAGTTTGTGAGACGAAAATTCCGTTTAAAAATAATGCAATAAATAAGACTTAGTAGAGAACCAATTTATAAGCGCTTGAAGAAATGAATGAATCGATAAGGCTTTGATTTATTATTCGAAATACATTGCTACAGAAATAAAAACGTATAATTTATGAAGTGCGCGATTGCCTAAAAAATCCCGATAAAGGATTCGAATAGTATAATTTATGGCAAAACTCCCTTACTGCACGAGATCTTAAGATTTTTGTCGTATATTCACAATTTTTAAAGGTAAATTATGAGATAAATATTTTTTAAAATATTTCTTGGATAAACGTATAATTTCTTTCACATTTGTTTTGATAGAAATTGGCAATTTCTTATACTTCCACAGTCTTTATCCATTTTTTTACATTTCTTTACTTGCTTTCCTATGCTTTCCTTTACAAAATTAGAATAAGACGAAACATAAATTTGATACGGCTCATACCAATCATTTTTTATGACTATATTATATTGTGAAAAAAGTGTTCCAAACAGTATAGCGTTTTCACTAAACTAAGCAGCAATCTTCCCTTAAATGATATTAGAAATAAAATAATAAATATAAAAAAGGCATACTGAGAGTTTTCATTAAATCTATGGAGCCCAACGAACAATGAATTTCCTTTTCGCTCAGAGGCATAATTTTGTCGCGAAGAATTATGGGAAACGTTTGCAAATAATAAACAAAAATATTGCAATAAATATATATCTATTGCTTATGAATGGAAAATTATAGGAAGCTTTTAAAATGCCTAAATTTTTTTTAATTTTCTGGTCGATGGAAACTACCAACAAATATTCACAGAAGAAAACATTTGCTCTTCGAATACACATACGATTCCCATTAAGTTTTTTCTGAGGAAGATATATAAAATCCCAATCTGGCTTCCATCTTTTACTTCAATTTTTTTTCTTATTTCTTATTTATTTATTGCGATATACAAAAAAGATAATATTCTGAAATATGTGGGCAGGATAGCAGAGTGATTCTTGCTTAGACTGTCGCCTTGAACTTCAAAATGCCTTCTCAGACAGAAAAAAAACCTGTCATTAAAAAATTAGACGGTGTCAAGGATCCACTTCTATCACCAAGTGATTGCTGCGAAAAATTTCTCGCTTTAAGAACAACTAAATATTGCAAAATATTTGAAATTTTGAAATATAATAAATTTTTTAGAAATATTTTAGGTTGAAAATTTTTGCGCTAAATTTTGCAACGATAACAAGTATTTTAACAATCAATAGCGGCTAATGTGATGTTAATTTGGTGCTATTGCTCGCAAAATTATTTCATTTATGGCTTAAGAATTTCTCATAGAAATCAAAGAACTCACTCACGTTTCACATGGAAAATGAAAATTGTAAAATAATAAATTAAGCTTTAGTTTTAGAAATGAGATTAAATGTTTAAGAGATATTTTCGGCTTTTATGATAACTGGGATATATATCATCGAAGAAAACATCGGTTAAGACCAATATGGCGATGACCATAAACAATTAATAATAGATTATCATAATTCAAATGTATTCATATTTGTGAATTGGTAATGCGGCTGATGATCTCTCAAATATGTGCTATGTGCTGATTCCCAGTGGATTTCTCGAGTAACTGAGCACAAATATATGTTCTTGTTTACATAAAATGTGACATGATGATTGCCCAAAATTTCTTATCATAAGCACACAAATTTCGAGATATACATGGCCTTATTTACATGGCTCGTTATGTATTTATCAACCTATAAAATGCGAGCATAACCAACAGATTAGAGGAATGAATTTCTTAGCCTTAAAGGCTAATCACATAATTTCATTCGGAGGATATAATATTTAATTATTAACATTTTCGACAAATCTTAAATCTTACCAACCCTTTGATTTACAATCCAGCATAGATCTTTTTTTAGACTTTATCCTTAGGCACAGATCGGCTAAATCATTTTGGCAAATTCACGAAAAAACAAATAAGCAATAATCCAGCGTGGTTTAAAGCCAAATTAGTAATCGATTCTAATGATTTATGACTAAGGCAACGAACTTCATTACCTAAGTCTGTTGGGATCATCCAGGAAATCATATTGCCAACAGACCACGCCTTAAGCTACCAGGAAAGAAAGTCGTATTTCTTACTTTAAGACTCTTACTAAGCATATCCTTGTTATAGATTTTAATTTGCATTTATTCAGCAAGAACTTTTCATAACGAAAAAAATTATCAAAAATTTTCATATAAAATTTGTATAAAAATAATGAATATTTCAAATTTTGGATCAAATTAAAAAATGCGATTGTTCGGCTGACTTAACTTTATTGCTTAATTTTATTCAAATTTAATTATATTTTACGTTTGTCTTTAAAGGTTTGAACTGGCAGGAATTTTGATCTTTGATTCAAGTTGTATCATTAACATAAAACCTTTCATTCACCCTCACTGTTTTTTTTACCTCAGACTATTTGTTGTTCCATGCTATCTGATTCTCTTCGCACCGCTGATCTTCTCATAAATAAATGTTGAAGATGTTTTTGACTAGATGTAATCTTATTATTTATTCCTTTTTTCTCGCCTATATAAGATTGGAAATTTTTCCTATCTATCTCATTTGGCAACAAAGATCTAAACTTTTAATTGTTTTAGAGTCGAAGGTAAAGGATTTTATTATGGGGCTTCAGATGCTTCAGCTACAAGGCAAGGTAAATCTAAATAATTTTGATGAAAATTTTCTCTTAGTGGTCCGAAATAGAACATCTGAGATATACCTTTCGCTCTTTTTTTATTTCGGCACTCATCTTTTTAACTTTAGATTTAATTTAAATTTAATAAAAAAGTTTAAATTAATTATTAAAATTAGTTATCAATACATGCAATAGTCCATCGATTCATATTGCCTTTGACTAAATAAAAATGGTAGAAGTGTGAGCTTTGGGCACCGAAATAACTTGAGCCCATATGTCCAATACGTTTTATTGATGCTTGGTTTCAGAGAATAGCGATTAAATCTTTCGTTACCGATAAATTCTTTAGCCTTCCTGTGATTTATAAATGATAATCTCATTTCACTTGTCTAATTCCTGTCGCATAAAATGAAAGTAATAGACAAATAAATAAATAAAATAATTGATTAAAACCATTTCGTCAATGGTTCCAATAATTTTTGGATATTTTTCGGATGATTTTCTGTTACCATATCAAACGTAATAGTTTATCCGAGAAATAATGCTTTCCTTGGTTGAGCCAAAATTGAATCACAGATCAATATAATTCAGTTTGTGACACTGAAGGCTTTGCCACATAAACTATTATAATCTTTCTCAAGGTAATTGATAAACTACAAGTAAATCAGTGGCAAATACGCGAGACGAATATACGCCTTATCGTTGGTTTTGCTGTCATGTTTATCTATTTGTTGATTGGCGCCATTGTATTCGTACAAATTGAAGGACCAAGTGAGGACCAAGATATGATGACATATAAAGAATTTCGAAATCACTGGAATACTGTTCTTATGGAAGCAGGCTTTCAGGGTTTATCTTTATTATAGCTATTCAGTTTTTACAGTTGTGGTTGTCAAATATCATGGCTGATAAAGCGAAGTGGATAGTACTATTAAAGAGCTGAAGACGAAAAAGGATCCTAAATCTTTTGAAAATCACATACGATTAACCTCATAAAATCGTGCAATCGTGAATACCGATTAAAAAAAAGCACTTTTATTACTATTTCAGAAACTGATGTTGATCAATTATTTGCTGACATTAGAGAAATGGCACTAAAGGGAATATGGGCGGAAAAAAATATTACCTCAGAACCGAACTGGAGCTTTGGTCAAGCATTCTTTTTCACTGGAGCTCTTATCAGTACAGTAGGTGAGCTTTTTATATTCCACATATTTCACTGAACTACGGAAGCTGCGGAAACTACAATAAATATCTTTAGATTTAACGAGTAATTCCAAATTAAGGCTATGGTAGAGTTTTGCCAAGAACACGCGAAGGAAAATTTTTCACTATTGTCTACTGCATCATAGGCATACCAATGACTTTAGCTCTATTATCATCACTAGTGGTTCGTTTGAAACAACCAAGTATATGGCTACGTGGCAAACTAAATGCTCGTTTTGGGCATGTTTTCCATTCATTTCAGCTGCAGGTATATTTTCTCCGAAATTCGCCGTTATCAAGGTTTTGAAAAATATTAGCATTTCTCGTCTAAATCGCATAGACGGTTTTGTTTTTGGTAATTCTATTTTAATCTATGCTTCTATTCCTTGCATTCTATTTTGATCTTATTTTCTTTTTCTTCCAACAAATCTCATCACTACTGGTTGAGTTAGCTCCGCTGGCTACAAGGGTAAGATGTTTCTAAGCTGTTCGGTCCGACGCTATCGCTAGTAGAAATAGAAGCCATTCTTTTTTCCATCGCTTAAGTCCATATATCGCTGGCCTGTCTAATACGTTCAAAAATTTTGTTGACTGTATCACTCCAGGTCTTGATTAGGACCACCTCGCTTCTCACAAAGTTTAGCAAGTAACGAAATAGGACTCCTGTGATGGGCGACGAAGAACCAAACCAACAAAAAGAGCGTTCTGTGATGATACTGTCAATGCAAGCAGTATTTGAACGAGAGTGGATGCAATCACGTGCGATTTTATACGCTCGGTGGGCCCATATGATATATCGTAGATATGAATATTCAAAGGCAGAATAGTTCCTTAAAATCCTACATTCTCAGTGGCTAGGCCTTGCAGCCATATACCAAGATCGAGCGAATTGCAGCTATATGGATGCTGATTTTCAATTTTAAGGTATTTTCACGACGGTTTAGTGGGTTTATCAGCCGGAAAACACATTTCTAGCTTCATTATTCCGATTAAAATTCCACCCTTTGCCTGGCCATTTAATATTAGATTAGATCCAAGATATTTAAAGTCGGGCATATTTCCTTAATCGGTAGTAAATTGATAAAAATAGGTATTTTATCAGCTTTTTGCATATAAGACGAAAACACTTTCGTTTTATTGATTTGATTCCACACATTGTTTAACATTATTTGCATTTCAATATAACTGTCAGCAAAAAGGACTACATCATCAACGTATTCAAGGTCTGTGATGCTATGCTCTAAATTGATTCGCACACCTCTCGAGTGCCGACAGGCGATGCCAATTATCCAGTTGATCGCATAGTTGAATACTGTAGGGAAAAGGACGGAGCCCTGACGGATACTAGTTTTTCTTGTTTTGAAGGAGTCTGTCAATTCCCCATATACACAGATACCCTTCTATCAATCGAATCGAAGGAAGCTGCAAAATCGATAAAGCGAGTAACAAGGTGGGTAGCTGGTGTTTGAAGCGATGTTTCAGTACCTTCTTAGCGTAAATATCTGGGTCAGCACAAACGCATCCAGGTCTTAATGCAGTTAGGATTCTGTTATCTCGTGTTGCTATGAGTCTATTTTGAAAGGAAGCGAAAATTTTTCCGGAGATGTTCAGTATGCTGATTCCTCGGTAATTGTCTCATTATGCTCTGTCACTTTTCTTAGGAATTGGAAACAGAATTGCTTTGCTGCAGTTTTCTGGTATTATTTCCTTTTGCCACACCAGAGAATACATTTGTTAAAGGTGAGTTATGAGCTATGAAAGACAACATTTGAAGATCTCGGCCGGAAAACCATCTTCTTCAAGAGTTATATTGGCCTTAAGCTTATGGATTTCTTCTCTTTTGTTGGCTGTTCGCAGTTGCAAACGTATGGCTCGATGGGTGAATCAATTATATCGGAGACAAAACATGGTGCATCGTGGTTAACATTGGCCTCAAAAAATTCTTTTCATCTTATGAAGCGATTCTTAATAGCCTTAACAGGTGCCCCATTAATATCCCGTATCATTTTACTGACCCTTTCTCAAATTATGGTTGCTTTATAAAGAAGGCGGAATAATTCTCTGTTATCGCCCAATCGAGCAGCCGTCTCCATTTTCAAGGTCATGTCACTCCAATAATGATTTCTATCCCACCGTGCTGCTGTCGTTGTAATTCTTCGAAGCACCCCATAGTCAGGATCTCCTGATATTTAGGCTTTGGCAGACAGTTGGACAGTTACTTCCGACACCCAGTTAGCGCACTTCCTACTAGTATACCCTAGTGGCTCACTTTTGTAGGCATGTTTTTAGTTGGAACCAGTATTTATTCGACTTTCCAGAGACGTCATTGACGTTTATTTCACTAAGATGTTCCAATAATGCGGTCTGAAATGCGCTTATCGTTCCCAGATCTTTTAATTTGAAAATAGTTGAAAGATCTTGGGATACATTGTTTTTTACGAATTTTCAGTTTTATGTGGATTTTGACTCGAACCAGAACATGGTTGGATTCATGAAGGTTATCAGTTTCAGCGTCGCGATAACAGCGAAATTATCTACTATGGAATTCTTCCAACGACGACTGACAATAATCGCTACAATCAATCTGGTTAGATGTTGGTTGTCCGGAAAGCTCCAGATATTTTCTCTGGAAGCATCTATTATTAACAAAGAGATCATGGTGTTGGAAGGCGTTTTCTAATGACGCAATGGATCCCGATGCCATATTTACCAATTACCGAATTCATCGTAACGGCATCATGACCTACGCGTGCATTTCAGTCTCCCTGGATTATGACCATATCACTTTTCAGTAGAGAAATTGAAGTCCCGCATAAAATTTATCCTTATCGCGATCATCTGCGCTTAAAGTTAGAGCATAGACACCGATGACCGAAATATTTCTTTGAAGTAAGCATATGGTCGTTTACCGGCTTCCAGTCAATCGAACGGACGGAACGGGCTTTTTCAAGCATGAAGATCGCTACGCTATATCGCCAGAGTTATCCGAAACACCATAGTGATACCTCTGTTCGGAGCTAGGTTTGATAATTGCACGAGACCCGAGGACCCGAAGACCTCCGGCAAGCAGGCGATGTCCACACGATATTTAGAAATTTAGAAAGACTGTGGCTTGCAACGTCCATAAGCACTCTGACGTTCCATGCTGCTATGGCTAACACCTCGTTCCGCGTGCATAGAGCCGTTTGACAGCAATTTCGAGTAGTTATTATGATGCGCGAGCAGATCATATTCTTAAGTCTTGAGATCGTTTGATTAAGCCCAGATTGTATACTTATCGCATGTACCACAGGGGCTAAGAATATCATAGGCACCGGACGCCATGTAAGAAGACCTGACCTTTTCACTACGGAGTCACATGCGGATACAGTTACAGGTGAGTCCCCGGCAATCCACTTGGATATGTGTTATCATGGCAGATTTACCCCTGTCCAAGATAAAGACAACAGAAAAAAAATTAAGGAAGGATAAAAAAATAAACTTGAAAAAAATTGTTTAATATGTATATATGTAAAATACACATACATATTTTTTTTACAATTTATATAATTTGACTTAAAGTATAATTTACTTCAATCCTTGTTTGAAAAAAATCTTAAAATTTAAAAGAATTTAGTTGTTAGCAGAAATTTAAAAAAAAAAAAATTCACAAATAAAACAAAATTAAACGATATTTTCTTGAAACGGCCGCTCGCCAAATTTGATTTTTTTATTCATCATTTTACTCAAAAAATATCAAATTTCAGCCGATTAGGGATTTCTCTGGAATACTATTTCAGCATCCGTTTAATATTTTTATTTTATAAAATAATATTCTTTATTTCAGATCTTCCATTTGGCCATCGTATGCGTTTCCCTTCTTATTTTCGTGTTTATAATTCCATCATATATTTTCACTGCAATTGAAAATGATTGGATTTTTCTTGACGCTTTTTTCTATTGCTTTATATCACTGACAACAATTGGATTAGGTCGACTTTAAATCTCTGATTTAATTTTAGGCAAATTTCCAGCCCAACTACAGGATAAGAAATCTATCCCTTTTGAAAACAATTATAGCCTGCAAGATCAATTAAATCTTTTTTCTATTGCTATTTGTTATTAGGATAAGTGTCATAACTATAATATAAGATTATTAGCAACAAATCTAGAGAGTTAAGCCAACAATTAGTCGCTATTACAGCAAGTGAATATAGGAGTTAAAAAGGTGGTCAATCTACAAAGAAATGGGTCCACAGTAAGCATTTATTTATGAAAATTTTTATATCACAAACAACAATTCAATTAGATTTCCTTGAAAAAGTTTCTAACTTCGTGAAAATTCATGACCACTCTAACGATCGTTCGAGTAAGCCTAACAAAAAATGGTGAGCGCTAACCATTTAAATGAGAATGGCTCGAATTTTTCAATGAGAACATAATAATTATAATATATAATATAAATATAATTCAGGCGATTTCATTCCTGGTGATCAGCCAGACCAGCCTTTCAGGGCATTTTATAAGGTCATTGCCACAAGTAGGTTTGAATAGTTCTCAGTAAACATTATTTTTTTTGAGTTAGAATTGTAACATATTGTAGGAGAATCTAAATGCTTATCAAGATTCTTTTCTTTACAAGTGTTGATGATAACTGCATTTTTTCCGTTTTTCAATTTTCGATTTTAATGTTAAATTATTTTAAGTTTATTTATTATTTGGATTGGCATGTATGATGCTTTTCATTGCAACACTTTATGATGTTCCACAATTCAATTTAACCCGTTTCTTCTTAATGAAGGAAAACGGATATGCTGAGCCATATACAGAGGAATCGAAGAAGATCACCATCGTTAATCCCGTAAGAAATTTAGCTAAAATTTTTATGTAGAATTCTCAACCTGTTTACTTAGAATTATTCTGTAGCTATACTATAGCAATGCGCAAACAAGGAGGCATTATTGTCATATTTATTGGTTTTTGATTTATTCACACTGTTCATTCATAAACATTCATCTCCATTATTTTATACACAGCTTTAAAATAGCTTAAGAGATGCGATTTCTAATAAATACTTTTTCCTAACATAAAATAATATTTATTCACCACAAAAATTAATACTCACTCATATTGATAGAATCGATAAAAAAATTGTCTGAAATTTCAACATATTTTTTAAAATCTGACTGAATTCTATGATAGATAGCCTAAGGAATCAAGGTTAATGACCTTTTAGCAGATCGTCTTAATATTTTCAGATTTTTTTGATTAATTTAAAAAAAATAGAAAATTCGAAGAGGATAGTCGATGAAAAATGCGTCAAACAGTTTGATTAATATTTCTTAATATAATATTTCACGTTGAAAAAGATGATTTACTTCAAAAGGGCGAACACCATTCTCAGCTGGAAATCCTTAGGTTAAATTATCATCGTATTAGGAGCTGAATACAGGCAGAACATAGTCAAAATCTACCATATATTTCTCATTCTCGATAAAATATAGATAAATAAAAGAATTATTTCAAAGGAATCCACAGAAATTCCCCACTTAATAATTCAAAAAATAATCTTGACATAATTTTTGAAGCTAACCAATTGTAATCAAAAAAGGGGCTTTATCTGTAATTCTAATTTTACTTACGAAATGAATGGCGATTACGCGAAATCAATCACTTGAAGCTGGTCTCCAATGCCACGCATATTTTATTTCAAAACGACACAGATTTTTTCAATATCCATGTCAAAATAAACGGCAAAGCCAAAAATTGTTTTAAAATTAATCGTAAAATTACAAACTGATAAAGTTTGATAGTTTTTGTAAATACAGCACGATCTCATAGATCAATTTCCTAAATATTGTGCGTTCACCGTATTAAGTTTAAAATTTTTTAGTAATTTACCAATCTCTTTCCAGTCTTATGCCAAACCACTTAGACTAGATTAGGTTCAGTTTTTAGTACCTATAACTTAACTTAACTTATAACTTCACTAATATATTTCATATATTATTTATGACTTTATTAGAAATTCATAAAGTAGACGAAAGCAGTTTGTCAAACGATGATTTAAAATGATCATCCAATTTTGGCAAATTCGTTAATAGAACTATGTTTACCAAGGGTGCATGTTTTTTAATATGGTGAATAAAGACGGCATATTTTAGAATTACACTGATCAATCATATATGAGACAAATAGATGACGATTCGCCGATGCATGACTTTGAAGCTAATGGTCATTACCAGCAACAATAAAAACGTGTTGTCAGCAATAGAATACAGTTTTATTAAAATATCGGTGAGTACGAACTCCCTTCTTTTTTGTGGCAAAAAATTATAGAATTGTCTTCAGAAGACAGAATCATCATGCAAATTTTGTATTTTACTCGATTAATAAATATCTGTTTCGCTTTTAATAAAGTTCAGTAAATCGAATCATATAATAGTTTTACAAATGGATTAAATCGAATTAGTCGTCAAAAGACTCGTTTGTTTCTGATGTAACCATGCTTGATTGATATTTATGGAACTTATAATAAGTCGATCTCCTTGTAATATATTTGAAGCCTTTCTATTTTCTTGTACAATTCATTATAAAACTATTGTATATAAAATTATTGATAGAATAAATAAATCCATCAACTTCTTCAATGAAGTAAAAGCAAACCATGGAAGCACTAGATGATAGCAATAAAATTGCGTAATCGAACCTTCCTTAAACTTTTGCATACTGTTTTTGGTCAGAAAGCTTAACCCTCACTTTAGAAACCAAAATGAAGTATCGTCGATCATAATGAAAACAAAAAAGCGTATCAAAATTTTGAATCTCAACTTTTCCTAATGAGTTCCCAAGTAATAAATTAGTTTTAAAAAGTGAGCTGTTAAAAGCGATCGATCCATCTGATATCTTATTTAGTTCCAGTGGCCAATTGTAGCTAGACACCTACTACATTTCAGAATCAATAATACGAATGCGAAAACTACTCAGCCAGTTTTTGTTCAAGTATTAAATTATGCAATTTCGCTTAATCTCGGGATGATATTTTGCTTCGACTAAATAAGTAACTTCCACATGAACTATTTCTTCCGTAGATCCATGAATATATACGAATATATACGTGCACCTACCAATATATGCACCCAATGCAGGTATACCAAATAAAATTCAACTTGAATGAATATCCAAAGATGCAGGATTTCTTGCCGTATAGGTCCCCGTTCAAACTTTATAAGCAGTTATTATTCATAAGTAAACTACATCGAAATTGTATAGTTATATATAAAGTCGCAGCTTTCTATCGAAAGGACTTTAAATCTTTGAAAAATTCTTTAATTCTTTTATAAATTTTTAATTTTAATTTTAATTTTCAATTTTCAATTTTAATTTAACTTTTAATTTTCTTGTTTTTATATATGAAAAATTTTTCATTATTATTTCTATTTCTTGTTGATAATTCTAATATTATTTGAATTTCTCAGCACTAGAATATTTTAAAAATTTTTTTATTGAATTCCATTAATCCAAATATTGCTTATTTTCTTTTTGCTATAAACATTTAATAACCATAATTATTGCCATTTATTTGCTATTTTTTAATTTAATTTAATTATTATTTTAAATGCTTTCCGGTTGGTGCTGGCGATTCATTTGTACTTATACTGCCAAGTGATAAAATCTGGTCTCACAAGCCAGCTGACCGTGTCGGAAAAGCCGAAATAATAAGCGTTTTCCCATGCTTAAAATTATAAATAATAAGCTTACATCTGGTATTTTTATACAAATTTCCTTTGTGAATGCTGTCAATTTGTAAAGAAATTACACGTCGAATTATAAATTAAAATCTCTTTCTTTCCTTCAAAAACATTCCTTATAAAAAACAAGAAGGAATATAATCAAAGATCAGAGTGTATTTATTTGGTCAATTTGTTTTTGGATCGGTGAGTTTATCGGTCTGTTTGTTAATCGGTCAGTTAGTCAGTCAGTTTCTACAATACATCCTTCATATTCCTCGCTAATCCCATTCATTTCGTTAATTGATACTATTTTGCATATCGTTTTATTATATTAGTATCTGGGCAGTAATAAAATCTATATTCCAAGTCTAATCGTCGATGAGTACGCAAGTCACTTCCAAAAATTTTAATTTTTTTTTTCTTTTCTCTGAATTAACGAAACTTTTCAGGACAGATCGAGTCTAACTAAGAAGATAAGCGGTTTAAAAAAATCTAAATAAGAAATTCTGTTATAAATATGAGTGATTTATATATGATTTATTATCTGATAAACTTCACACATCTTGTTATTTCTCTTATCAGCGTCTTTCACTCCGATAATCACTTTATCATTATCCTGCTAGTAATATCCTCTTGGATCTCGTACAACTCTTTATAATTATCCCAATTTTTCAAATCTTTCCCTACTTCCCTGACATATTTCTCGGAACCTATTATATCTCCTTTGAAACCTGTGTTCCTTTAATGCTCCATTGAACAACTTATAAAACTGTTTCAGGTAGCACATGGTGAAATATCAAAGGAATCTGGCGGCGATTGGATGGCATTAACCGAGAACGATAAAGATTTAGAGAAATGTTAAGAATTTTATGGATATTAATATGTGGAGAGGAAGACAATTACACCTAACTAACGAGTGTTTTACTTGCAATCTACAAAAAATGTATAAAGCAATTAAGAACAAATTGTACCTAGTGTAAAAATATTATTTCCAGCAATGGCTTCAAAAATTAAACCTAAGTTTTTGTTATCCATTATATCAACAAATCTCATTTCCACATGAACCATTCCTTAAACAAGTGATAAAATTTTGTCTGGTCCAATAAGCCAAGCAAAAGGAAAAGCGAAGAAAAATATTCATGATGGATTCATGATGGCCGATGTCGAGTTTCTGTCCCCGGTAAGCGTAAATCATCTCTTTCAAAAATCCATACAGTGTTAGCCATTCACCTATATTTTTACTAAATGGCTACCTTACAGAATTTTTCTGATCTAAAAAACCAGCGTGGAGAGTCTAATCAAAAATGTTAAAACCAAGCAGAATAAGCAAAATACATCTGTGTTCGAAACAATATGATATAAGGTAAAAAAGGGTAGTAAAATGAGGTTAGTGAGGTCAAAGGGATAATAATTCTTCAAGATAAATGTTCTAGAATGATTGTAGTATAGCTTTTGTTTATTAGCTTTTTCTCAACACATCCCTTGTTCGCGGAAATTTCACTAATCAACTCTCAGTGAATTAGAAAAGTTATATCCATTATTTGCTTTTTTTGCCCAGAAAAAACGAAACTAAGATCGAGACTTCCTTGGTTTTTCTCAGCAGATTATAAGATTAAATAAGATCAAATGATTTGAAAAATCACTGTAGATTTCCGTGGAACACGCATTTTGATTACCGTAAATTATATTTTAGACACTGACCAGATTTATTTGCCCCTGTGGTCCTGCTTGCTGTTCTTTTGATTTCCACTCTACTCACTCATTTTCGTTTTAATTCCGCTCCCAGGATAGGGAAATTGGAAAATCTGTGCCCCAGGTTTAAAAGAAGGTCCACAAAATTATGAAATATCAGAATTATGCAGTGGGTGGCCAAAGCATGGATGCTCTACTGCAAAAAAGTGCATATAGAGGAAGTTCGGATGGATATCGGTCGACCTAAATAGATATCGACATTAGTGCTCATAGTGTTTAAAACGGTGCTCATTTTAAGCCAAAAAGTCTCCAAATTCAGCAGAATGTTTTTATACACATTTCACAGATTTTCGCTGAAAAAATCAAATCTAAAATATTTAGCTGTTAAAATATTCGTGCACTTAATCTCAAAAGGATTGCCGAACGACTGTGGCCGAAAATTTCGAGATTCATGAAATTTGAACATTTAACATAAATTGTATAGAAACATGTCGGTTCGAGGGAAGGCGAAGACCAAGAAACTTGAAATTTCTGCGCCAATTGATTTTGAGCATAGGATTCATGCTGGAATCGATCCTGTTACTGGACAGTTTCACGGTCTTCCAAAAGTTTGTTTTTATTATTTAATTTTGTATTAAGTCAGTGGACGCATGAAACAGATTGCTGTCCTGTGGAACTATTTTGGGTTGCTTTGGGTCTCTTCTAAAGACTCTTCCTTTGAGATTCTCGAATAAAAATTGTGCTTCGCCACATATCTTATTTCTTAGAAAATTTTATATAAATCTTTGAATAAAATATTAAAGTTATTAACTTGTAACGCAAAAGTGCGATTGTCAGTGCTGAGAATAGAAAAATACGGATAAATTTTTTTGGTCTTTTTTCACATGGTTGGAATTTTTTTGGGTTCTGCGTTGTTTTATGATTTGTTCTAACAACATGCATAATTTTTGATATGGTTGGCCTTACGGCGATTGGAGGGAGCAATTTCACTATTGTCATCTGTAAATAGAGGTAAATAGAGGTAAGTTGCCTGAGGCTCGGATTTAACTTATTCCTGTCAGGAGGCAGAAATCGAATCCATATTGCTTATTATCCTCATGAAAAATAGGAAATGACTTGAATTTATTATTGTTGCGCTCCATAAGTTTTTTTTTTCATTTTCACGTGAGAAACGATTCTTACTTTCCGCTGTTCAATCTGTGGCTCAAGTAAAAGTTAAGAATCTGCGGTCAGAGAAGATGATATATAAGTACAGTAGTTGAACGTAAAGTGAAAGACAAATGAGTAATTATTTGGAGAGTGAAAAGATTTTTTAAAATGGATTACGTGGAATTTTAAATAAACATTTTAACTTTCTTTTTAAGAAAGCTGATTTTTTTTCCATGAGCGCTTACCATTTCTGGTTATGTTCGCTCCTCTGGCTTGTCGAACCAGGCAAGTTTTACCAGGGAATCACTTGGTATAGATGGGACGACAGCGCCACCAGAGAAAAATTATTATTTGTTCTTGTATTTTGTATCGTATTAATGCTTTTATGTCATTTTTAGCAGTGGCAGGCAATTATTGGTTTATCGCAAAATCGGCGTGGAAGACCGAGACCATTGGTTGATCCATCGTGTATAACTCCTATGGAAATAGCAGAAATAAAAACGATTGTTCGAGGCGACATTGTTGCATCAAGCAATATCAGGTGAATTTTCTTTCCATTCTTATGGAGTCCATTTAAGTTTTTTTTATTTTTTAAATAATATTTTTGCTAGGTTTAAATAATATTTTTGTTTATTGTCAAGGCATTTTGAGAATGAATATTATAAGCTGTTCAAGATAGACTTTTTGCAAGAATGGAGTGAGTAAGTGTAAACTTCCGATAAGGAAATAGAGATAAGAGATAATATAGATATGCTGATAGATGAGAAAATAATGCTGCAACGGAAGGGAGGAGAATTTAGAGAGAAAAGGAAAGTATGTTTCTTGTCAATGTAGTCTTGGGAGTCTAAACAACGGAAATTACTGAATCAATTGCTAAAAATTGCTAAATTGCCAAACGTTTTTCCGTTTTTTAATTCCATAATTTCTGTTCTCTGCTTGCCATCTTGCTCTTGATCTTTTTTAATATGATTGTTATTGTCACTGCCATTACTGTTGGAGAGACAACCGAGTAATTATTGCTCAGATTATCGTCTCGAACGTTAGGGTCCCTGTCTCCGTCGCCTGAAAATTCTTTAAAAATTCTTTTTGGTGTTGGGACTCCATCTATGCCCATTCCACTCTCTATCAGAAATTTTTAAATAACCATTAAAAAATAAGGATTATAAGAAAAACTGAATTCTAACTTCTCGCTTCACTCATTACTTTGTTATTATTTCTGTTTTTATTTATTACTATTATTTATTATTTGTTGTTAGTCATTATTATCAATTATTATTGTCATTATTATTATTATTTTGTTCTTATTGTTATTAGGATTTATATTTGTTACTATTTATTATTATTTTTTGCTGTTTTATTTGTCATTTCTTATTATTTGTTATTATTAATGATTTCTATTGTTAAATTGTCATTATGTGGTTATTATTTATTAAATTGATATTGTTATGGTTATTTTCATTGCTATTATTGTTGCTGTTGTTGTTATTGTTAAATTATCGATTATTATTATTATTAATATTTATAATAATGTTTATTATCATTTTATTATTTATTATTGTTGACCATTATCAACACCATTTATTAATTTTATTATTTATTATTGTTATTTATTTTTTATTATTATTATCATGTTGTTGTTATTAATGTTTATATTATTGTTGAAATAATGATATTTGATATTAATACTCGCATTTATCAAAACGTAAAATTTTCAGTCATTTTGATCGAAAGTTTGTGCCTTTAGCCAAAAGTAATATGCTTGCTCACAGTTCCCATCATCAGTTATTGCCACATTCATCTCAGCGATTTACTCTGGCTCCTGAAATCTGCACTCTTATACCTTGCACGTAAGACCAAATTTTGAATAGAAATTGCCTTATATTTTTTAGTTTTTTTATAGTTTAACTTATAATTTTTATTATAATCTTTTGTTGATTCAAACTATGATTCCCGAAGAACTATCCTTTTATTTGTTTTTCATGATTTAGACGACCACAGAACCATCAGTTAATTCCATCTTTCCATAACCAACAAAGGTTAAATGCAGAGTGGCCCATGGTTAGCGCGATCTCTCTTAATGGCTTCAGTAGAACTGGTTTCTTCTTTTATACAATATAAGTTTTTTTTTTTCATTCGATAATTGTACAATTATATAAAATGTTAATTTTTGTTATGCAGTAATGGTTTCTATTAAATATGGATTAATCTTACAGATTCGCGGTATCGAACTTCACATCGCTTATATCGTTTAGGCGATAAGTCAACTTCCACATTTTTTCATGAAAATTCAAATTTTCAGCCCTTGTCTTGCAAAAACTCTCGCCATAATGCGGTTGATACTTTCAAAAATGATGTTAGTTGCTTTGCTTTATCTTTGGTTATTTATAAATAAGATATAAATTGTTTAATTGCATAATTGCATAATTTTGGTGTAAAAGTTTTTATTTCTTCTGTATTTATTAATATTTTTGAGGTTGAAATGGAATCTATTTTTTTTTGATATTGTAACTGAATTCGCATAATTGGTTCTGTTTTGCCGCGAATTTTTCTTTGCAAATTTTTGTGCACCATATAAGATAAATTTTTGCAGGATCAGTGTGCATATGGACCTATCTCAGTATCGAATGAAGCTGCAGCTTATAGGCCCAGCAATAACGATGTAATTAAGAAACCGGATAGGAAGTATAGCAGTAAAAACCGTCTAACCCATGAAGAAGTCATAATTTTAAAATTTTTTTGTTTTTTTGAAAAACATTGTTTTAATTCGTATTATTCGAGATATTAAACTAAAGTTATACAAGATTGTTAAAATAGATTCCTTGGAGATGACAAAAATTTACTTCTGAACAAAAAGAGGTTCCAGTAAAAAGCCGGACGAGCATGTTGCTTTCGATTTTAAATCTTTGTTGGGCGGAAAATTTTAAATGGCAATCGCATTATTTACCGACAAATTATAAACTATTTTTTATTTTTATTATCATTTATATCAGTTACCGTTATATGGATTGAAAAATTTTTTTTAGTTCTGTGCTGCTCTAAAAATGGTTGTTACACCTGGCGATCCTCGGAGTAGTTTAACAGGTATTGTCCAAATTGGTGAAGGATCAACAGGTATTGTTGTGACAGCTTATCATGTACGTGTGAAAACTGGTGGTTTGATTCTTCGATTTCACTTCTAATAGCTCTCACCATTACTGGTTAGATTGGCTCCTCTATCTATGAGAGTAAGGCATCAAACTGTTCGGTCCAACGCAATCGCTGACAGTTATAAAAGCCATTCCTTTTTCCACCGTCTAAGTCCATTTATCGCTGATTCTTCTATAAGTTCAAAATCTTTCCTGACCGTTTCATTCCAGATCTTGATTAGCCTTCCTCTCTTTTGACGCCATCTATCACAGGGTTTAGTTAGTAGTGAAATTTATGTCATCTTCTGTGGTGGGCGAAGAAGAACATGCCCTAACCAGCGGAGGCAATGTTTTGTGATGGTACTATTAATGCAAGTGGTATTTAAGTAAAGGCGGTTGCAAAATCATGTGAAATTTTATCCTCTTGACGGATTCCTACAGTGCATCAAAAGAAAATTAACTTTTTAGTGAATTACATGGATGCGGACTTTCGTTTTCTATATTTTTTTTAATTTCGCGACAACTGCCTAAAGGTTTTGCCGACTGAAAGCCTTTTTAGCTGCCGTTATCCAGGTTACAATTTCGTCTTTCGCTCGGCCATTTGGGATTAGAGTGGATCCAAGATAATTAAAGTTGGCACTTCCTCAACCGATGATGAATTGATAAAAATAGGTATTTTATGAGCTTTTTGCACATAAAGCAAAAAGATTTTCTTTTTATTTACATCGATCCTGAGTTAGATTCTTGCTGCAGTTGTCGACACATCGTTTAACATTATTTGTATTTCATCATCACTATCAACAAAAAGAACTACATCTCCGGATTGACTTGTCCACTTCTTGAATGTCGACAAGCGATGTCCATTATCCATTCTATTGCATATTGTAGGGGAAAGGACGGGCACCAGTTTTTATTTTAAAAGGGTCTGTCAGTTCTCCGTACAGATCTCTGCCGATTTACGCTGATAAAACGCCTTTATGAGGCGAATGATCTCTGGAACACCCTCACATTTCATCACCCTCCAAAGCGCTATTAATTGAATCGAAGGCAGCTACGAAATCGATAAAGCAAGTGACGGTGGGTTGCTAGTATTTGAAGCGATGTTCCAGCACCCTTCTTGGCGTTAATATCTGGTCAGCACAACCGCGTTCTGCTCTGAATCCAACTTTTTAAGACCCATTCTGCTATCTCATGTTGCAATGAATCCATTTATATGTCCTGTCACCTTTCTTAGGAATTAGGAGCGGAATTGCTCCATTCGTCTATCATTGGGGATAGGATGGCTCAGTGGATTGTTGCTCAATTCGGGGAGCCAATATTGAGGTTCTATTCTCCGCAGGAGTAAACCTGTCCAAAAATCCGGGTGGTGCTGGCGACTCACCTGTACTTCTATCGCCAAGGAACTCTCTGGCATATTTTTCCAGTTCGACAAGATAGCGGAGCGAGTTTAAGCAGTTTAAGCAGTGATGATGAGGATTCTTGATGCCATAAGAGTACATACGACAGTGAGCAACATTTAAAGAGTTCGACTCGAAGACCATATTCTCCAGAAGTTTTGTTGGCCTTAAGCTTCTGGATAACAGAGGTTATTTCCTGTTCTGCTAGTTCGCAGTTGCAAGCATATGGCTCGACAAGCGATCATGGTTAAGTTTAACCTCAACTTTGTAGTTTATGAGGCGATCCTTAATAGTCTTAATAGGTGCACCGTTAGTACCTCATCCTACAAGTTATAATTGCTTTATTTGATTTTAGTGGGTTGCTCATAAATTTATCTCAGTTAACTGGTTGACCCCCAGATAGCGCAGACTATAAACGAAATGTTTATATGTTATTCCATTTTTGCTTTTCCTCCTTCTATTCTTTTCCTTTACAATAATTCATCTTTCTATGATTGAAGTTTTTATTTCATATCATTAACTGTAATATTTGCTATGTTCCACTCGTGTCGATAATTATATAATCTTTTCTCTCTGCATAAGAACCATTTGCGTAGTAATAAGGCTTGCCGTAGAGGTTTTTATATTTTGGTCGACGTTTTAAATGTCTTTTTCATTATTATTTACATGAGGATTACCTGTGAAACTTATTGGTCATCTTATGTCATCAATTTTTTAGATTGCAGAAAACCGTCGAGTTGCTGTTAAAAAAATGAACATTCTCAAGCAACAGAGACGTGAGCTGCTTTTCAATGAGGTTATTTTTTTGTTGGACATGCGTTTTGCTTTCATTAATTTTTCCTTAGTACTTTACTTCACTTTTAATTTTTTCTGTAAATTCCAGATCTAAAAGAGATTTTTTTGTTTTTTGAAATAAATTTGCCCTTTTGAAAACAAGTGCTCTTTCGTTAAGCTTAATTTAAATATTGTAGATAATCATTATGCGCGATTATCAACATCCTAATATTGTAGCGATGTATGGCTCTTATTTAGTAGGTAATGAATTATGGGTTGTTATGGAGTACATGGAAGGTGGGCCTCTAACCGACATAATTACGCAATTCAGGTATTTTTATTTTTTGATGTAAAAAGAAGTTTGTATTGTTTATTAATTACTTTCCTGTCACTTTATACTGGAATCTAGTGGAATTCATCTTTGTTCTTCTAATAGTAAAAACTTTTTTTGATTTGGTTTTGTTTGGTATTAATGGTTGCTAGGATGAGGCCGTTTTGCTAGTCATTTGAAAATGAGTTCCTAGTATCTATATTTAGTGGAAGGCTTAATTTCATCACCAAATTACTGCTACAATCCATGCTGCTTCGCCATCATCCATAAGCAACGCATGTTTTTACTATATAGTATATAGATTAAAATATAATGCAATTTTCATCTTAATTATGAGCCCCCCCGTGGTTTTTTGCTTTTGTAATTTTAGGCAAGTAATTTTTTTATAAATCGATTCTAATTATAGAATTGATGAAGTTGCAACTGCCACAATAACTGTGCAGTGTTTAAGTGCTCTTGAATATTTGCATTCAAACAAAGTGATTCATCGTGATATTAAGAGCGATTCCATTTTGTTAGCTAGAAATGGAGTAGCGAAAATTTCTGATTTCGGATTTTGTGGTCAACTTTCTGATGAAGTTCCTCGTAGACGAAGTTTAGTTGGAACGCCGTATTGGATGTCTCCCGAGGTTTGCTTATTCGTCTAAAAATTCTTCATTATTTGTGTATTTGTATGAACCGTTTTTAACTTGAAGAAAAAATGGTTAGCGCTCACCATTCTTAAAGTTCTTAGGCTTACTCTACTAGCTATTAGTTTGATGAGAAATTTTTGTGAAGTCAGTTAAAGATCGAAATGCAGATGGATTCCTAAGACTAGCTGGGTTTCAATCTTTATTCATGTTGGAGACTGGATTCGAATCTTGGAGCTCGTGGCGATAAAAGCCATTGCCCTTCCTCAATGTGGATTTCAAATCATTTATCTATAGTTTCTCTATGATCTTGAATATATTTTAGGTGATTAGCCGATTGCCTTACGGAACGGAAACAGATATATGGTCACTTGGTATAATGGTCATTGAAATGGTTCAAGGTGAACCCCCGCTCTTTGATGTTCAGCCTCTTCAAGCCATGCGATCGATTCGTGATTCTCCTCCACCGAAGTTCAGTGAAACGGCTAGGGTAAGTTATTTGCGAAAAATTGCAGATTGGAATGAAGTATTTTATGCTTTTCATAGTATTACATAATTTTTTCGTTAATAGTTGAGCATTTCTCATAAAATATATTTTATAGGTTTCGGTAGAGCTGGAGCGCTTTTTGTCCTGCATGCTTGTAAGAGATCCTGCTAAACGAGCTACTGCGACTGAATTACTTCAGCATGAATTTATCAGGAAGGCTTCTCATTCATCAGTTATTTGCCGATTCTTGAATCTTGTCAAGCGCTAAGCAGTCCTTGAATTTTGTTGCACAAATTCACATAGATTAATTTTAAATTTTTAAATCACTCGTACGTGCATTTTAGGGCCTCTTTTTCTTGAAGGCTTCGAATCTGATTTACGGAAACAATGCCTTATAATTGAATACAATCTTTTATTTAAATAGTTTTATTTAAATTTTATTTTAATTTTCTAGCTTTCGAGCTATCATTTAAAGGCCGTTCATATATATTTTATTATGTTGCCGTTCGTGTTTGCTTTTTGATTTGTTTAAATAGAATTTATCAATCGAAATGAAACAAATTCTTTGTGGTCTTTTGCATTTTGAAACGTCGCTATTTTGGTTTTTTATTCTTCATCCGATAAAAGTTTGATATTTCTTCCGTTTTCTTTTTAATTAATATATTTTCAAAGGAAATATAGGAGTATAAATAATTTAAAATTTGATTCTGCTCCTTTATTTTGTCTGCTCTTATTATTTGTCTGAGTTTATTTTTTTTTCATAATTGTTGACTTAAAATTTTTATTTCTACAAGTGTATTTATAAAAAATTCTTGAAATTACTGACTTTTATTTAACAATAAAAGTTTTGAATGCATACGACTTATCACCAAACATTGAATTGATTGATTAATGCTTCCAGTACGTAAAACATAACTGAATTTGCAAGGATTGGTGAAATTATATTTTGCATGGAATTGGTTACACACACTAAGCATTTTATTGATCGCTGTCATAACTATAGTTACAGCACTGATTGAGGCGCGACAGACGAGATGTTAATCAACAACAAAAGGAACGGGAGAAGGTTCATGATGGTTGTTTTTGAAATTTTCTAGTTATCAGTTTTTTGCTACTATTTCTAACTTTTCTAACTGTTTCTATTTACGATAATGAACAATTTGAAATCCATGTAGCAGGTTTAGTGTCTTCGAGAAGAGCTATCGACAAATTAGAGGAATGCTTATGAAGAATACTGAGAAGTCGATGGAATGACATATGTTAATCATACATGCGATTAGATTTATTCCGAGTGCGCTGGTGATTCGCCTATATTTCATCAAATGGTAAAATTTACCTGGTTCGACAAACAGAGGAGAGGACGAGAAATGCTGAGTGCTCCGAAAAAAAAATTCTATTAGCTTTAATTATTTTTGTTTATTGAATGATGCGAAATCTGGAAATTTCGCAGAAATGAATTTTTTCCCCGATTTCAGTTATTGGATTCGCAGATTTTTTTGCCTGTTGCAATTCTTTTTATTGCAAAGCATTTTTAAAATTTTACATACTTGAGTGTGTTCTCCAAATTTTATTATTTTTTAACTTGTTCGGTAATGAAATCATTACCGTTTCCGGTTCAATTTAAAAGTTACGCAAATGTTTGCGATTATAATTTATTGCAATGAATCATTTCGATTTGTGCAAGTCGAATGCAATGAGCATTTCATCTATTATCCTCGTTGCAAGTCATCACGTTCCTGTTCATACTATTTATCATCTCATTTATTTTTCCTGTTCTTGTTTTCCTGTCACTGATGTCTTTTAGTATGTTGCATTAAACTGATTGCGCCTGAGAAACACTTTATCTGATCGAAGAGATTATGCAAATTTTATTTGTGACGAAAAAATTCATTCTGTGGCAGAAATACGATTAAGATTGATTGAAGAACTTGATGGATCTTCAGAAAGCTTCAGAAATTTTTTAGACATAATTACATTTTTGAAATAAAAAAGCCAAAATTTTTATCTGGAATACTGTCGTTTGTCGATTACAGTCGAAATAAGTGGTGACAATACTCTCCCAGTTTGTTTTCTAAATGCATCTCTTTGAAAAAATGCAAAAAAAAGAAAAATAAAAAAGTTGGCCGATTTACTAAAAATGTATACACGCTCACTTATCACATATGCAACTATGATGGTACTGAAATTCATCAATGTTTTTCTCAATCTTTTTGTTGATGGTTATGAAGCGTTTTATATTCCGGAAATTCTCTGATCGTACCTATATTATATTCAGTGGGATGGCTAAAATGGCTTAAAATATGAGAAGAATTCGTTTTCTTTAAAAACTCAAAAGCTATTTGAGTTTGTAGTGCGAATTTTCACTATAGTCTTAGCTTAAATAACTTGATAACTAATGTATAAAACTGGAAAAAAATATAAGACTTTGAGACTGTAACAGCGAGAAATACCAGCTCGTCAAGCCGTTCCTTATCGATTTGCTTACTTTCGCATTTGAAATTTGTTTGTAAATTTTTATTAACATTATAGAATATTCACATTTCCACATAAATATAATCATTAAATGATCATGAATTACTGTGCAAACTTTGCCTGATGCGATGTTACCAACTTGATGCCGCGTGGACTCGGCATGCTTATTGCTCATAGAAAGATTCGCCGAAGAATACTCCTGGAATAAATTTCGTATGCAATATATATTTTTGGTTCATGATCAACTATTTAAAATAAAAGTTGCAACATTAAAAAGATCTATCGAAGATCTGTTAGCAATTTTACTTTTTTTAAAATTACTTTTTTTAGGAAATAAGATTTAATTTAATGGATTAAATTTATTTCATTTTTTCACCATTTTGCTTAGATTCGCTACATCGGCTATTAGGATGAGATCCTTTTGGACAGAGGATCATTTGGAAATAAAAGAGCTTTCAGCGCCACCCGGATATCTCTTCTAGTGACGTCGATTCCAAAACGTAACATTTGAACTGATAGTCCAAGCAATACACCACTTGGCTTTTGCTCCCATTTGAATTCATAGGTTAAAAGAAAAACAAAAAAAAATCCGATATAAGATAGAAAAGAAGGAATGCGTAATCATAAAAGAACAGATATATATTTAATTTACTCTTGAGGTGACTTTTCCCTAGAAAATATTTAATGAATATTTGATGCAGAAAAATAAAGGAAAAAAAGCTCGGAAAGACAAAATTTATTTGGAGAAAATCCTTTTTTTGCAAAAAAGAAAACGGTTCAAATTTTCCAAAAAGAATAAATTAACTGGTTCACTGCAACTGCACTTTCATAAAAATTCAAAAATCTATTAAACTGTATTAAATTTATTCATAGATTGCCAGTTATGTTTCTTGAATCTTTAAAGTAAATTCTGAAATGAAAAACACTGATTCTCAGCGATAACGAAGAGCGCTCATATTTCTTAAAGTGAAACATATGCATTTTCCAGCGCAAACTAATTTTAGACGAATTCAATAACTGCAATTTAGGCAAATTAAAAATAAAATATTTTATTGTTGGATAGATGAATGAATATGTATGAAAATTTCCTCCCAGCCTGCCTTTGCCTACCTTAAGTGGCAAATTATGGCTTATTGCGCCTTAAGAATTCATTAAACACTTTTATATTAGCTATAGATTAGCGTCAGACAAACAATCTTCAAGGCATTTTTCGCTAAGGAGTAATATGATCGAGATACATAATTGGAGATTGAACAAGATTTACAAAAGATTCGGTTTAGCTGAGATAGTAGCAAAGATTCTCAAATGAGAAAATTAGTATGGATTTCCATCCGATATTTTATGGAGAGGTTATTTAAACTTACTTATTATAAACTCGTAGGGAAAATTCTACAATCTAAATGAATCAAGATTTGGTTCTTTCTGACAAATATATGGCGCAGCGATTTTACAACAACTCTGAAACCACTCTCCTGTTTGCACATTCATTTTTGTACATTTTCTGACTGTATTTCTTTGTGGCCGTATGCCTAAAAAATATGCTATTCGTTTTACTGAATTCAATAATAATTAAATAGTGGTAAGTATTAAATAGTGGCTTGCTTCTTGTAGGAATATTTGTCTTTTGAATTTTTGGTAATTTTGATACAAATTTAAAAGAGTACTTTACAGGAAATGAATTTTTTGATTTTCATAGGATACCTTTCGGCCAATTCTCATAATCATATTTGGAACGATCTGTCCATTCATATTCAACTGAATCACCAAACTGAGCACTGCCTAGCCACAGTTCCTTCGCGCCACGAGCCATCTCTTCAATCAACAAATCAGTCGATGAATCTGACTAGCTTAATTACAATTTTTTTTAAATTCAAGGAAAATGTATTATAACTAACCACGCGCAAATTTATTTTCAGCTTTCGAATGAATCGACAAATGATGCCCTCCAAGCAGAAAGCAGTTTACTTCAGCAGCTGGCCATGGAAAATCTAAGTCAAAATAACGGTAACATTTCCTAGAGTGAGGAGAATAGCGCCATTTAGGATTGCAAGGACCACTAAGTACTCCTGAAAAGTTGGAAATATTCCTAAGAATCACAAATTCTGTTAAGTGGAATAGCTATATAAACGATTTATAGCATCAGTACCTCATACCTGATATAATTTGCGGTTTCCTATCTCAAATTCTATCATCTCTCCTCTTGGAGCCTTTATGGCTTAAAAATATCTTTTGCCAAATCAAATATATTTTATTTAGTTTATATAGAATGCTAGTAGCTTAGTTTTCAGTTTTTCGTAAATGAATTTAATCAAAGGATTATAAGAATAGATATTTTTTTGTATCCATTTGGAGACAAAAACATACGTAATTTAAAATTAGGTCAAAATCTGAAGCTTTTGCTTCCTATTAATAATAAATTAAATCTAAATAATCCCGAGAAGGGTTGACCAGTCGTAATAAGCCGCTAACATGACAGCTACAAACGAGCATGGATTTCCACAAATTTTTCTCTAAAAAATTTGTACAGAGATCCGAAGGATTTAATAATCGTTGTGCAATTCTTAAATCGAGGTTTGATCTGCACTTCGTCGCTTAAAGTCGATCACCAAGGCATATTTGTAAATTGACAATAGACAAAAATAAGCAAGAAAAGATGCATTCGTTTGAGAATGATATGCAAATTACCTGTTAAGAGAACGAGCATAAAGAATGCACAAGTAATGATCATAATTAACTCAATAGAATGAAGTTCGTTGGTTTTCCTGCCCTTATAAAAGGCAATACCAATGGGCGTCACTATTCCATTTTCTTTTGAGCTGAATTTAATCAAGAATCAATTTAAAATTTTGATTTTAGAATTTGGTTGCTTTTTTTATTCTGTATTAAACAACAAAATTCTGGGGAAGAAAATTATTCATGAATAATTCGAAGTTCATTTTCAAAATTCTGAACCTTTGTCGTACAATGAGAAATATGTTGAAAAAAACCATGTTTCTTTAATTATTAAAAATTAAAATTTTACCCACAAAAATTTCATCAATGTTATGAAAAACTGTGAGATTGTGACTGCAGAAAAAGGTAAAATTTCCAGTTTTCAGTTTGACGTCTCTTTGTCTCTTGACACGGAAATTTTCGCTTAATTTTGCAATACCATTTCCGGTCTTAATTTTCCTAAAAAAAAATTTTCCTATCTCTTTTCGATCAAAATTTTGACTAGAAAAAAAAGCAACACTTCCAGTTCCACATCAGCATATTGAAAACCTTTTTTCTTTTCAAATTCGCACTATGATTTCTCGGTCCAATTTTTCAAAAAAAATCTATTTTGCTTACATCATTGTTGTGGACCTAGACTTTTTAAAACATAACAAGATCTCTCCAGTGTTTTTACTGTAAGATTTTCCTCAGCAAAATTTCAAAGCATATTAGCAGCTAGAAAAGTTAGGCTGACCATAAATGGTGAGCCATAACAACTTACTTTTTACATATCAGGATAATATGTTGAATTATTATAAATATAGAGATTTTTGAAAGTTAATTTTATCACTTAAAAAAAAAAAAATTATTTGCTAGCTGAAATATTAATTAATTAATTACGAATCTTCTAAACGAAAAGTAAAATACTTTAGAAATGCATCTAAATCGGGTTTTTGAATCTACTATAATAAATTTCGAATTTTCTTTCTTGATATTTGATTTCTGCCTAACCTGAGGTGATTGATTCACTTGGAATTCGAAAGGCATTCTTAAAGGGCCATATAATTTCATGAAATTTAGAATAAATTCCAGGTTAGCCAACATTTTGTTTTCCTTAAGTATTGACAATAGATTAGCTGAACGATTGTTTCATTTGCCGAAGCTGTGATTACAGCAGGAGTAAATTTGACATTAAAAAATCAGAGTGGCGATCTACGTATAATTTCTTTTCCATCTCTCTGACAAAAATTTCTTATCATTTAAGAGCCAGAGGAGAGAACTTAACCAGAAATGGTGAGCTGTAACCAAATAACTCTGCTTAAATATGACAAAACTCTTCATAAAATGGTTTTAAAAGTCATTGTTAAAAAAATTAAGAAATTATCATTAATTGTTGCTAGTCTAGAAAGATCTTTCAGCAAATTAAATGGTAAAATGCAATTTTCTAGCAAATGAAAGAAATTATTGGCAATTTTGCTTAGGTTTCATAAATTTTTCTCAACCAAAAGATTCAGAGTTCATTGGAAAAATAATTTTTAAAAAAATGATAAAAAATGAAAAAGATAGTGCTAATAAAAAATGATAAATTATTCATATCGGTCAAATCGAGTATTTTCCCATTTCTTATTTATCAAGAGAGACTGCAAAATGAAAACAATTAATTGCCTTTACCGATGATTCTTTCTTCGAAAAAATTGCATCAGTTCAGTCATAAACAATTTTAATAGTTTGGAATTGATTTTTATGGTGCTCATTGAAGCACCTCATTCAATAATTCATAATTCAGTTCATTGCCGAAGACACGAAAATAAACGGATGTCATTCAAATGAGAATCGATAAGACAAAAAAAATTAATGTGCTAAGAATAAATTTGCTAATTAATTCTTATTAAAACTGGTGATGAGATATTATTTACACTCATATAGTTTCTGATAATAGCATGATACATACTACTATTATAATATTTACACTTAAGGCAAAGCTGTTTTCATTATAATTGGTGCAAGATGAAGAGAGAAAAATTTAACCTTGTAAATAGCCAAGAAAGGTCGATGACAACAACTTTCAACAAATTTTCTTGCGGTTAGGCTTACTGCACTGGCTATCAGTATAGTAACTTTGTTTGAGTGCCTTGTGAATTAAGTATAAAAATGGACATCCGCCACTGCCCTTCTTGATTTGTAAACGGATTCCAGTAGATCAAGCCATCAGCCTTTAGGAAATTTGCAAAATTTAATTAACTCCTTTAAAAAAATTATTTTGCGAATGGGAGCAAAAATTTACTATGGGGTAGTAAGAAATTGGATGAAGATGCTGTTAACATATAAATTATAAATTTCTATGTAAACTCGTTTCATGAATCAGAGAGCCATTCAAGACTTGTGAATTTCTTGAACTTGAATTGCTTACTTACTTCATATGTCTGTAAATAGCCAAGTGATTATTATTCGGATTAACATCCTGAAAGTTAAGGGTTCTGACCACAGCTCTAACAAGAAACCTGCATAAAATCTGAGTGGTACTGGTGGCTCGCTTTTAACTCCAAATGGGAAATTTTTCACCATATTAATAACAAGTGAAGCTAATCAGAAATCAGAAATGACCAGTGCTAAGCACTTAAATTCATGTTCTGCCAAGACAAATACTGCTGAGCAACGGTGAATGATTATTTTGACCAATCCTTATTCAGTGAATTCGCTTTTATTTGGTGAACTTTGGCAACTTTTTTTTTTCAAATTTTCAAATTTTTTAATTTTGAAATGTCGGTGAAATTAAAATCACGATTAAAAAAACGAAATATCGCTAAAAAAGAAATTTGTTAGCAACAAGTATATATTTCTGATTCGCAAAACAGTGGAATAATTTCCTAATTTGAAAACAACTTTTGATAGAAAAAAATGACAATTGGTTATCAAAAAGATATTCGGCAATGAAATTTATGGATTAATGACGAAGTAAGCTATCAAATCTGTATTAAATTATAGATTTAGCCAGAAATTTACTTGACAAAATGTGTGAGTGAAATCTCCACAAATTCTTAATGGAAAAAGAAATCTACTTCATTGTTATTAAATGATGATTCAGTCAAGAAAAATAATGGAAATTACTATGCATATTTCTCGCACATTTCTGCAAACTTTCTAAAAAATTTTCCTGCATTCAGTGAGCTTAATCGATAAACGGTATATGTACTTGAGAATGTACTCAAGTAAGGAATTTTATTAAGGCTTTAGAACCGGTCTACAGCTTCCACTTTGTAAAAATAAAAATAAAAATAAAGCAGTGGATGGTAGTTAAATGGTTCTGTTAAAAAATCTCAGTGAGAGTGATTTGCAGTGTCGCTTTAGCTCTGCTTTTTACTTTTTGCTTAACAAATTCTTTTATTCAAAGTTGCAAAGTTTGCTCTAATCTAAGTGCTTTTGTTTAAAAAAATGATTAATTTTGCTTGTAATTTCGATCATTTATAAAATTAAAACAAGAAAAAAACAGGCTGAAAGTGAAGAAAAACAGAAATTTGCTAAAAAGTTAGTGTTATTCATTTTTTGATGGAATTGTTGATTTTCCTTCCAATTCGAAAAAGATTTTAAAGCTTTTACTGAGATATAAGGAAGAACTCCTTTAGCTTTTAGCTTTTTTGTGGAAAACTTTTTGTACGTAATAGCGAATTTTGTAAATTATTCTTGGACTTCGAGAACGAAAAGCCTTGATTAATTTTATCAAAATATTCAAAAACAGCCCCAGGAAAATGAACTTTTCTAACTGAATAGAAATTCGCACATAAATATTTCGCTTTACTTTATCCTTTTGGGAATAGTCTTTGTACTTTGCAATAATTTTCACAATAGAAATTTTACGAATACTAAGGATTGACGCGCTTACTTGAATAAATAAAGAATGATTGTTTTCTTTTTTCATTCAGTGAAATATTATTTCTTGTTGATGAATGAATGGCTGAGCTGTTTTGCTTAGTTTCTTAGCACAAGTTACTTAGCATGATTATTGTCATGGAACATTATTTTTATGGAAAGCAAGCAATTCTTATGGATAATTTCTCGATTTTACCATTTTAAAAGCTTATTTCAGTCCAATTTTTCATTTCCAATATTTACATATTATATTATTTATATTTTCATTAAATTTTCCATCGTTCATTTGTTCATTCCATAAATATCGTATCATTCAATACTTTCGATGCTGCCAATAATTTTTTTTTTTTAAAGAGTCCTCACCATTACTGGTTAAACTCGCTTCTCTGGCTTTTTACATTGAGCAATATGCCAGGAAATCTCTTAGCGATAGAAATACAGGTGAGTCGCCAGCATCACCCGGATTTTTATACAGGCTTACTCCTGCGAGGAATCGAACCTCAGCACTGGCGTTCCCAATTGAGCAACAACCACTGAGCCATTCTATCCCCTAGGATAATTAAAGTGATAAAAACAATTTTTAAGAATAC